AAAATTATTTCTACATATCGAATCCTTTTTTTTTTGAGTTGGCTGTATTTTTCTATGAAATAAAAATGTAAAATCCATACTTAAATAATGTACCATTAATTATGTTCACTATTTGCATTGAGAGAAAATGTTTCAGATGAAATTTTTAAGTGGGTCAACATGAACAGTATTTTGAATGGAGTGTATCGTATGTAGATTCATTTTATTTATTTAAATTTCAAATCAATGGTTTGGTCAGCAATACTAATTTCATGAATGTGTGTATGTACGTACGTACGTGGCGCGACAGCCCGTGAACGGGCTGAGGCCTACCAGCTACGTCCCTGCCTCGCGGCCATGGATTTAGGGGCAACGTGTGGCTTGCACGAAGACACCCCCACGCCGTATTCCCGGTCTTCTCAGCCTCAGACGTGAGTTTTCTCTTCGTCACTCAGCAACACATACTGGGACATTGCAAGGAAACGCACACTATAGTCTAGACTCGACCGGGAATCGAAAACGGGGCCAGGTAGTGGAAAGCGAGCGCGAACTTCATGTTACTGTTCATAAATATGTGGTAGGAATGATTAAAACCTTTGTTAATTGTTGAATTTTCGATTTTACCGTTTTTCCAAAATTGTTTAAAAACATTTGCATTTTTATAATTATTACGAAGGAACCGTCTGATTTGGTATTTGGAGGTCCGACTGTGATGTTCTTTCGTGTCAGTACAGAATTTCTAATCTTTGAGTTCGATGTGTAAGGTACGAGTAATACCATCAATGTGATGGTAAATAACGTCAAAAGCTTTCGAAAGCTAAAAATATTTCAATAGGTGATTCAGTTTGGTCCTTTGATCAAGCATCATCTTTACGAAAAGGAAAAAAATATGGCAGTTCTGTAGATTTTGATTTTCAAATCGGTCTTATGGGTCGGACGTCGCTTCGTTTTCCCTGAGAATATTTTCCATTCTCTTACAGAACAGCCTCTAATATTTTTCAGAAAACTGACTGAAGAAATATTTACCGATAATTTTGAATTTCATATTTGTTGCCTTTTTTATTAAGTGGTTTAATTTATGCTGTTTTAAAGCTATCCGTGCATAAAGAAGCATTGAAAATGTGAGTTAATGGATGTATTAAGGGTTATGCAGCGTTCCCCCTGCTAGCGTGCGCACGAGGAAGGGAAGGGATCTTAGTATTTGAAGATACGAGACATCTTCCGAATATTCCCAATACTTTCGCAGTTTTTATTTGAACTCTTCTTTCCATCCTTTCGCATTTTCATATTTTTTGTATTACTTAGGAATAGAAAATACGGATTTATTATTAGGATACTGTATTGAAATAAGATTATTTCAACTTCATTTAAAGGGGTGTCACACCTCACGATATTAATGGGCTCTTGGTACTAATCACCCTGCAATAGTATTGTGCACGTTTGGAATATGTTTCGTAAATATAAATATTCATTTAAATTGTCAGAACGGACCGGGAGGTCTTAGGATCGAGTCCCGACGGTGGCAGGATTTTCGACAATAGCTGATCAGCTAGGTCCAATTCAGTCGCTGTCTAAAGGAGAATTCTAGCGGCTGGTTGGTCTGATCGCTAGTTTTCTATGGTTTCTCCGATCAACACCAGGCAAATGCCGGAGCAGTACCCTAACACATGTGCCATGGACCGCACGTGATATTACCTACCTCTTCCTTTGTTCTATCCTCTTCCCTTACACACACTCACACTACACAAGCACACGTGCCCGGAGACTGGTCGGGAAGTTAGAGCTTGTCACGTCTGGGGCAGGACCCCGCTGGTGGGAGATATGTATTGGGGAAAGCCCCGCTAGCCGATGGTAGGTCGGCGCCGGATCTCGCCATACAGTGAGGTAAAGATTACCGCTACCTCCCGAGCAAATATACACTACACGTACGGGACTAACGACCCTGTTAGTTGACGTGGCCGGAATCAATAAAACAATCAATGAATCCAGAAAGGAAATCGGTCTTGATTGCAACGATCATCAGTTTCATGCGGTTAGAAGCTGCAAAGCTCAACATTAGACGAATTGAAACATGACTTACCACTGCAAAACACTGCTGAAGAGCAAAAAGTCTTCTCTTCCTGCATTTTGCTACAGACGAAGCATATATCTCTGTTCATTGAGTTTTTTCCTTTCTTGTGAAAATGACCCCTCTTTGTGATGTTACCCTTGGGTGTGCTATTTTAGTAATGAGAAGATTATCTGTACCACAATTAGCCCCTCTGAATTCACTTGCGTCTTGAACTATTATTTTTTCATTTTGTTTAACAATAACATAATCCCTTAGAGATTTTTTAATTTTTCTTTTCTGATCCCAAGTAAATGTATGAATATATTTTGTAGCAGAAATAGGAATTCATAATGGAATAGTTCTGCCCTTTACAGATTCCTATTAACCGCTTGCCATTATTGTTTATTACCGTTTCTCCCATTTTGCCAATTACACCATCTTTTTTATTTCCAATGCGCCTATTAAAATCCCCATCATTGGAAGTTAGTCCGTCGTGGAGGCACTACCATCACGTCTATTAAGTCTTCAAAAAATTCACCCTTCTTCATAACAAGGGAGTTAAGTACTCCAATTACTACGAGGGCTATTCCACATATTTTATTTTTAATCATCATAAATCTTTCATTTATATCTTCCGAATTTTGAATCCTATTTTTCCACTTTTTTACTAAAAAAGAGACGTTTGCCCTTGCTCTCTCCCTTTTCTACTCCGCTCCATAAATGGTAATATACCTTAATTTCCTCTTGTCCTGTAACTTTCTTTTTCGTTTCTGTAAGAACCACCAATTCCAATCCTTTCTCTTTAATCCACTCATCAATCTCTCTGCAATTTCTCTGCAAGGCTCTGCACATTCCACGTTTCCAAAGAAAAAAGTCCGATTGAATAGCCATTCTCTATGTCCATTTATGATTTCCGAGGCTGTATTTATTCCAGCTAACGTAGCATTTTCCCTTTTCCAAGGTACGGTTGCTAGTCCATACGCTTAACCCCCAACCTGGAGGGAGGTTGCCTTTACCGCGGCTTAAATGAAGCCTCTCTCCCCATGGAAGAGAAAAGGCAAAGAAGACAGCATAGAAAAAAGAAAGAAGTTGAAAAATTAAGGACTTCCTAGGTCGCAACCTAATCGCTTCGGGGCCAAAACAAACAAAATGGTATTACAAACAGTATTAGTATACAAAATAGTATAGAAAAAAGTGTGACACAAGGAAGAGGAAGCAATGCTTCACTGCTAGATAGGGATCACAGGACTCATCAATTTGAATCGTGCGGGGTAAGTTCAAAGATATGGATGTAGGTTAAGTATGGGTAAGATAAAGTGGGACGTTGTGGAACAACCTTCGCTGGCTCCCCCACTAAGGACTGTTCAGTGTGGGTGATCCCACCGGTAGCTGCTGTAGCCTACTTGTACTGCACTGCTACTGCTATTCCTGCCATCCCTCAGCCCTCAGCTTCATTGAAGCACGCTAGCCTCGTCCGCACGGACAGTGCTACTTTAAGGCGGTGTTCCTAGGAGGAGGTATTCTCATTACTCATTTTTTAAATTTGTTATACCAAAACTCAAATACTTCCCCGAAACGCCAATATTTCCTGATTGACGCTTGCGCGCTGTCGACTACGCACCGAAATCTCTCACCCAACGCACTGACCATGGGGAGCTCTGCACGTCAATATAACGATGTTTCACGCTGGTCTCCCATTAGCACGCAATTCTTCGGTAGTTTTACCCATTCCCTACTCAGCTGCGCAGAGGACAGGTTGAGTCTTATCGCCGGGACGCGTCGTCTACGCATTGTAAGATGTGTATGTGTGTGTGTGATATTCATTTAGTGAGGTGTCATTTTGCTCCCCTAACATGTCCCACCTCAGTGACGTCATTCGAAATGCTTATAATCGCATCGACGACGTCATTCTTCCATACGTTCACAAACGCCTTCCAGACGTCGATGACGACCCTCTACGTCACCTCGCACCCACCATCTTCCTCATGTTTCCCTCCGATCAGGTCTTATGGAAACGTCTACCCTCTCACCTCGGATTCAGGGAAGACCTTCAAGAATTTCTCCTGTATCTCGAACATTATCCATACCGAGTGTATGGAGAACCACTCTCTCGAAAACATGACGTTTTATTAACTTCAAATTTCCTTAATTTGACCTTTACGTAATTTTGGTTTTCACAATTTTGGTTTCTTTGAATGTTATACGTCAGGAATGAGTCTACAAGACCCAATTTGCAAACCCGAATTTATTATACTTTCATTCCTAAGAAATGGCAATGCTTTTCAATTTATAAGCCCCAAAATGTATGTCACACTCTTTACTTTTCTGGAAATTGTAAATGTGATGGAACAATCCGGGATCACTTCACTAATTTACAAAGTGAATCATATACAAAGTGAAGTGATAAAAGTTACATGCTATGTGACAAAAGGGCATGATGCATTTGGTAAGCGATATTTACGGTCCGAAGAACGATTTCGTATCGGAAACATGAGACAGGTATCTTTGTATTATGCAGCTATAACTGTATGTACTTACTTAAAAAAATATACGAATTACGATTTAAAATATTTTTTTAAATTGTGAGTAGCCTGCTAACCGTGTGCCTAATTGTTTTTTGTAGGGAAATCTGCAGCAGTGTACCAAATTGAAGAAGCAGGCCATTCGATTCGCGAGGGTGAACAAGATCCTGCTTCGTTATGCAACAGCCATACATATTGACAGGCAAAATTAGAATACACCAAACAACTTCGCATAGACAATGATCCGGTAGAAGCACCGGCTATTTTGGTGGATTCACAGCTAAGAACATCCATTCACAATCTCGGTAAACGTCCGTTTTTCTTGTATTATTCGCTCAATAGCCATTTGAATGTGTATGAAAAATACCTAATGCATTGTAAAGGAGGTTGCATTTGTATCGATGCTGCTTGAGGGCTTCGCTAAGAAAGTGAAAAGATCAGATGTTCATCTTCAAATACAATTTTTGTGTACGGCATGGTAATAAATACAGGCCATGATGAGGATTGCTGACAGTCTCCTCAAATGCTATCCGAACGACATACATCCGTTGCCATCTTTTCAGCTAGCCAGCGGAATGTCTCAAGCATCTCAAGTTTCCCGCTATGAAATTGTTTGCGATTCAGCTGGAGCTCTTCTAATAGGTATGTATTAATTTGTAAAGTAAATTACTATTTAAAGCCAGTTTTCTGACAAAATATTTCAATATTATTAATTTTTAAACAGGTGTTCTATGTAATTATATTAACTGCAAGACACCAGAAGAGTACTGTGTCCTAACAGGTCCTTTGCCGCTGTTATGTAAGGCTTTTTGTGGCACGAATAGTGAAAATATATACCAATTTTCTTAAAGGACAACCCCGAGCATCAGAAATTTATATTTAGGAGTCGTATGCAAATTAATAGTTTACAAAGTTGGGAAGAAACAAACCTTTATTATTTTTTATTTTATCGATTTTTCGTCGTACGTACCAGAGGGAAAAATCCAATTCTCAATTAACTGAGAGTTTCAAAGCAAAAGTAAAACTCAAAAATCTTCTGATTAAAAAAGGTGAAGTTTTCCACACAGGAAACCATAATATTGATTCGGTTTCAGAAGAAATTGACAACTTCAGTAGTACACACGGTATAAATGTTATGAAATATATGATGTGATAATTTAATAAATACAAATTAAACATGTATATTTCTATTCCAGATGTTTGTGATAGGCCTGAAGCATCAAATGCACTGACTATGTGGTTGCAATGGACAAAAGATATCGATCAACAAGTGCATGAAAATGATGATGATATCAACGCTCATAAGAACAAATTAATTGACCATTGTAGAACCATTCCAATGTGGGCTTCAAGTGCTGCGGTAGAATGTGAATTTAATGACTTGAAGTCTTGCTTTCAAAGGAAAATTACCATTGAGAGTAGACGATTTTGTTGTGAACGTTTAAAATATAAAGCAAATAGAAACAAAATCGTACTTTCGGGAGCAACAACTGCACTTAAAATAAAAGAAGGTAAAGCTAATGAAGATATTTTGGATGTTCACGAAATTGATAATGATCTAAAACCTAATCCAGAGCTAAATAGTTTTCACTTTTTAAAGAAGGAAACACCAAAATTTGTAATTGTTACATATCTGATATCACAATTTTTTCTGAAGATTTTTTCCCTAAACTTTTTGATAACACCAATTTCATTTTAATTTATTATTCAAAGTAACTCAGAAATATTCATAATATGTTCTAATTGTGTATATTAATTATTCATTTAGGTTGTTGAAGATGCATTCTTGCATTCTTTGTAAAGATAATTCACAAGAAGGAGCTCGCTGATGCAAAGTCTGTGGGAAGGTCTTCATATTTTACCTGTGTTCCATTGATATAGAAGATGAAAAATGAGGTTATGAACAAAAAATAGTATCAAATGTTTAAGAAGAAGAGAGATAACTCAACCATCCCAGTTCTGTACAACGAAATTGAAAATTAGAAAGGTTTAGGGGAGAAAAGGAAGGCTAAAAACAAAAATAAATATATTGTAACGAATATTGCGTCATCTGCCGGCGCACCTGAACTCGGCGGTTCCGGGTTACTCGCGAGTCGCGTAGAAGTATGACTCAAGTTCCGGATATGTCCAGGCGGGCGCCAGCCAGGTATTAATTCGCCGGCGGACGTCAATCAGTCTCAGGTGGAAGCTGGCCTGTGAAGTGTGCATTGCGGTGAACAGTGGTGAACACCAGTGTAGAGGATCGTGATCAACGCCGTGAATTGTAGCCAGCGCAGTGAATTGTGGCCAGCGCAGTGGACTGTGGTCAGTGCATCGGACTGTGCGATAGCGTTGAAGAAGTGAACGGTGTAAATAAATAATCAGAAGATATGAACAGTGTAAATAAGTAATGAAGAGCAGTGAGTCATGTGTAAGGAAATAATCAAGTGAAGAACACAATGACTGTGCAACATATCTGTAAATAAATCAAGTATTTTAGTGCATCATTAATAAGCAAAATAAACGTCTTTGTTAAAATATTACCTGTGTTTTAATTCACCACTAAGAAACGTTAAATTTATTAATACATTATTATCTCTGAAGGGTTAAATTTGCATTAGAAATTGAAAAATGTTCTCTCATTGTTGAATGGCAATGTGTTAAAATTGAAAATTTGTGTTGCAGGGAACATTTGTGTCAAAAATTGTACACTTGTCAATACAAGTGCATGGGTTTTTGATTCCTTATTTCAAGCATTACTACTGGCAAAACTGTTTCTAGATTTAGATGCAATTTCCGAAAATAATATTTTTCTTCATGGCGTTGAGCATTTCAAAGAATGCAATAACTGCAAAACTAATGCAATACGAAACAATTCTTGTGTACGTTTAAATCGACTAGAGTAAATGAATAGTCAAAAGACTGCATCAAATTTAGAAGCACTTCAAATGCTGGAGAACGTGCTAAGGAATTGTTCCAAGAAATGCCTTTTTACAGAGAAGTCGTTACTTGTACCAATGGATGCTTTTCAAAAGAGGAACTATTTCTTTTGATTTTTATTAGATAAATTCTGCAAAAATGTGCAGTAGTACTTATTTGAATCAATGACAAAAGTTATGCGAAATGTGTGGAAATGTTTGCAGAAGGGAGATCGAAATGATATGTAAGATTTTTTTTAAATGGACACGAAGAAAATGCATTACAAAGTGTATTGATATGATGAGAAATATTAATATTTTTGTATTTACAGGATCGTTTCTTTCCGATGTATTCATCAAGGCAAAATACTACTGGCGATATTGAAGAAAAGTGGATATATTTGTGGTAACACCTACATTTACACTTGCAGCCATAATAGATTACATAAATTTTGGAAATTCAGAACGATTTCGAGAAACATTTGTTGGGACAATATAGAGCAAAGTTGAAAGGAATGCTATAGATTTATTATTTATAAAAATAATAATCATATTACATTAAGAAATAGCTAATTGTACAATTACAGCTCTGAAAGTTGGATAATGGATTGAGACATTGGCGAATGAAATAAAATAGTCTCATAAAGTTCTGTGCAAAGTTAATTTTTTTCGTAATCCTTACGGACGTATTGAATCCATAAATCGCATATAGATACAATGCAATATTGGATATAAGTAACTATTGAACATCATTTTTTCGAAAGGCAAAAGCGAGTCCGAAAATCAGTTTCATCGGAGTGTTCGAAGAAATTTGCCCTCTCTCGGGTCCATCTAGTGTGCCTAGGTGGAGAAATTCTACTTTCAAAAACGTGGTCGACGTCACCGAATGCAATTGCACATAACCTCTCCGCCATGTTTCTTTGATCTCCTTACGCCGACTTACGTCCCTAAGCGATAGTTCAGCGAGCCCTTATGTAGAAAGTATAGCTTAATGCTAAGCGACACTTACGAACCAAGGTGCAACGCTATTTTGACCAAAGCTCGCTTACTTTTGCTAAAGCCTTGCTTAACAATCTTAAGCCTACGTTGTGAAGACGAAAGTTAGTCACATTCTATGAGGTTATTTGGGACCACATTACAATGTTATGTATTGTACGTAGATTGTTAAGTTAAATTACATATTATAAAATTAGATTCCTAAGGTTTAGTTCTGTTAGTAATAACATGTGTTTGAAAGATGTGAGTGCAATTGAAGTATTGTTTCATATCTACGGTTATTTTCAATTAATTTCTTCTCGGGTATTTGGTCTTTCTAGTATCACATGATGAATTGTTCACAGAGAATTGCAATGCTGGAATGGAATAGGTAATTATTTCACCATGGGTTAGCCTATAGTGGCCAACTATGAGTCGTATGATGATATATTAAATTCGTCTATTAATCATAGAAATATTCTCAGGAGTTCTAAGGCTTCAGAAGGTTATTTAAATCGACTATTCCACTCTTGAAATTAAAACCAATACTGTTTGACTATACATACAAAATGTCCCAATCAATTTATCACTTTTTCTATTCCATTTTTCTTACTGCTTCTCCCTTCTGGCTAATCATAAACTGTGACTCATCAATCTTAGGAGGCGGTATACATCGATCGCTGTATGTCGATGTTCAATAAAGAGCGTATGGACTATAACATAACCTCTGATTTTCAATATTTGGCGCATTTTAGAACTCTGTTGAACCTAATTTCATTTGTGGAATAGTCGTATTAAATACCACTCGTGCTTTGGAAATTCTCAGAGAAATCCCCTCCTCGCTTCACGAGGTGGGAATTTATCGACAATTCTTGGGCGCAGACGTGCGCACGAGTGTGTAGTAGGGACGTCACATCCTCCCTGAAAATTTCCTAAAAAGTGTCCCGTAGCCCTACGCAATAAAACATTTTTCTCGTAACTATGGTCAATTCCCTCTTTATCGCATACTTTGAGAGCTCTTTTTGCAAATGTGTATGCGGACATGCAGACACCGACAAAAACTCCTTTAAACGGTTTATTTGCTCTTTATATCTGTAAATTTATAACGTAATTCCCCCGGTAGAGTTTCATTAAAGTATTTATGATCAAATATTATTTTGGCCGCTGGGTTATTGGAGTTTAACACTACTTAGAGGGCATAAGAAATACAATTTTCTCGTCTGTAGGTTAGTGGTTCTCCTCCAAGGACGGCCAGTACACTTCTAATTGAGCACCAATGGCCAATCTCAGAGGCTGTTTCAATTTATCCAGTTTGTTGTCTTGTACAGAGATATAAATAATTGAACTAAGTCTATTTTTAATCTTACTACTTTACTTTATGTATTTTGTATGTACATGTACTTGTTAATATTTTGAAAGCATTTTGTAAACTTTTATATAAGTGTTAATGGTGTAATATTCCAGAGATATTGTGTGTCCATGTATTTCAATAAAATTAAAAAGAATAGATTCTAGTAAGTCATTATTTTAATAAATTAAGCATTTCAAAATTTGTATTATTGCTTCTTTGAATGCCTTTTATTTCCATTCTATTAAACTATCAACATCTTATACCTTCTCTCCAATTATTCTTACATGAAGAAAATATCCTTTCAATAACTTGGATTCAAAAAAGGGACAAAGTTGGTGTAGTTTCGTTAATAACATGAGATAAATTTTTGCAGAATTTCGGCAGAATCTCTGTGCTAGTACACAGAAAGAAAACAGATACCTCGATATGTGGATTACCAAGATTTTTTACATAATCTAAAACACATAATCAATTATTTACTGTATGTATTACCTTCATCTTGAAATATTATGAACTTAAATTGGAATATACAAAATATATACAATTATATACAAAATTGTCAAATCGTTGCAGGAGCTTTTGAACTAGCCACAAAATTTTTACTTATACCGTTTATAGATGCAAATTTAGAATTTCATTCTTGAAAACCAGTTCTTCCATTTGTTATGTTTTTCTTATTTTAGTCACATTAATGGTGTGTGACAAGTGGAAAGCTCGTCCTCGTTAAAACATTTTGTAAATGTTTATTAGTATATAATAACTGACTTAATGTGAAAAATAGTTAATCTTATTTTAAGAATTTTACAATTTATTATCCCACGATAGTTATATTCTGCTGCAAAAATAGGGACTAAAAACCTCAATTACAATTGTTTTTATTCTTACGAGTTCGTACAGAATTAATTATTTACTATTTGTATATTTTGCTGGCTACTTACCTCTTCTTGTCTCCCGACCGCGCTTGGCGGAGAGGATGGGCCGTGAGTCATCGAGGGGCGTGTGGTTGAATGAATTAAAATAACTTTTCTCTAATGCTGGTTTATTTTCTAATGGATCATCTATAGATACATACAGGAGAGAGTTGTTTAAGGTTACTTAAGACTCGCAGGGGTTGGAGTAGATGCACCTTGCCATCCCGCGCGAACTCGCCAAACGGATCGCGCACATTCTCTTTCTTACGCGCAGCGTCCGCAACAGTCGCCACACAACAGACTCGTCTCGTCCTGGCGCGGCGCCTGGATCCAAGTACCTGTTTTTTTTCCTTCCTCACACACCTCACCTCACCTCCCCACGCGCGTCTGCCCCCGCTCTTGGGCGCGGGGGCTTCGGGCGGAGATCTGCGCTGAGGATGGCTGCTGCGCCTGGGAACTTTCCGCGTGAGAGCATGCACAGGCAGAAAATCCATTATATGAATTCTTTTGACATCAGGGTGTTATTAATTCGATCGAATTAGTGCGATAAGCATGAAATACATCTATAAACACAAATTGCATGCTACTTACATCTTAGTCTTACACTTAGTCTTGCTCTTACACTTAGTTCCAACCACAATTGTCTTGCCTACGAGTGTCACAATTCTAACGAATGTCATTCAACCGTGTTTGCAGTTTTCAATATTGTTGGATCGGCTGTAATCGTATGAAAGGGTGATCTCCAGCCTCCGTATTTGATAAGGAAAATGTCTAAACAGAACTAGAAAATGGAGAAAAATAATGTCAAAAAAG